GAAACATGCAGTACACAGTAGACTGCGAATAATAAAAGAATAAATATTTTTCTGCTTTAAATTATCGTCTCTTGCTATATATGGAATTAGTATATATTGAAGCGTCTTGAATGCAATCTCATCTTTCTCCGGAGTAAAGGCAAAGCCAAGGCTTTGTTTACGGACATACATTCTCTGAAAGTCCAAGCGTGAATTTTTTCTTCACGTATGGCTAGCGTTACCTTACGGTAAACGTCACCACAGCTATAAACCATTTAACCGCTCGCACTTTTATTCTGAGATCAGATGCCAGTTATATGGCACGCCATAATTGAGAAATACATACCCCCTGATTGCATTATGTTCCCGAAGAGAAAACGACACGGCGAAATCACTGTTTCAGCTACCTTAGGATACACTTTCTTTTTAAGCGACTCTTTTATATCAAAAGTTTTTCTTTTTCACTTTTTGTTTCTTGTAAGAATCTTAAAAAAGAATAACAAAATATGTTAGAGGTCATTTACTGGAGAGTAGAGCCATTTATCCTAGAAAAAAAGCCATTTATGCTAGAAATGAGCCATTTATGCTAGACAACCTTCCCGGATAGACAAATTATGAAGAGAAAGAGCCGTTTATGCTGGAGAGTAATAAATGGCTCTGCCATTTATGAATGAAATTACATTGATTTGAAAACGAATATATAAGTACATGTATATATGTAACTATAAACAGAAAGAATACAGTTCAGCTTTAAATTGTGTTAGTTTATAAACCGATAATAAAAAATAAACATTTATTCTATTCTGTACATAGAAATGTATCCAATCTATTTCATTCAGCAAAACCGAAGAAAGAAAAAGAAACGAGAATGATATCTGTTTATGCCTATGCATACACGTAGACCATGATTTATGTGTAGATTTATTTCTGACGGCTTGTCTTAGAAGGTTGCTGTATTTTGTACGCAATTAATTTATCGATTTTATCCTTCGCTGGCTATGTGATAGCTTTGTACCTTTTGTTCGTATATGATTCTTTCCCCTCATCCATCATCTCTATTATATTTGCATAAAACGCATGATTGCTTTCGCAAAATGAGAAGGCGATTAAGCATCGTTTGGAGTAAGACTGGTAAATAAATGCTTTTTAACAATCTTCTGATCATACACAAAAATTGCAGCAAATTTTGAAAAATGAAATTTCTGTTGGCGTGCAAACGGTAAGGCAGTTATCAGACACTTTCTCTGAAGCGGCAGTTTTGGAATAGATTGCTGTTTGTATTTTTTATGCTCTAATTATACCTTCAGGTACAGATGTCTGATGGTGGGATTGATGAATGTTCAACAGTTCATAGTTGTTGACTTGACAGAGCAACACAGATTGTGTATGACGTTTGACAATAGGGTCATGCCATATCAAATTATAGGAGGTTTTTTCTTGAGATGTTGCCAATTGAGACGTCATCTGTACTTTCTATTTATGTCAACATAATTCCGTTCTCATGTCGACAAAAATTTGCTTCTACCATCAAAAGTAAGGCAAAGAAGCTATCTTAGTGTAAAAATATTTTCTTTTACTCTCTTCTCTCAACAGCGAATAAAATTCTTTCTTTATTTTTTACTTCATTCAAGTAAAGTAGCGAGTGTCCGGCAAATAAAAGTAAAGTACCACTCCTGGCGCATATCAATTTATAGGAGGTTTTTTCTTGAGGTGTTGCCAATTGAGACTAGTGCAGTTTTGTAGCCCATGGTCCACTGAGTGGATCGGCACTAGTTTGGCTCCGACGTACGGCCGACACTCCAGCAAAAAAATTTAAAATATAATTTGTAGCAAAATAAAGCAGAAAAATCATAAAAATTAAGCACTCACAAGTTTCGAATCTCGGCACTCGCTTATCGTGGGCGTTTAACCTATTTTGCCATCAGCGCATATCAATAGATAAGTAGAGTTTTCACTTATTCTGTTTTTCTCACCAAAGTAGAAACGGAACTATTTTTTGCACAGCAGAAAAAGGTTTCATAAAAAGCCTTTCTTTTTATAGCGTGGAACAGTTTATTCTCTCCATACGGACTAGATCCGGACGAATTTTTTGTGGCATTCTGTAACGATTTTGCGATTGGTGTTCAATGTGAATAAAACCTATCCACATATATGCATAGGTTATTAATGAATGCTCTGTATGTTTCAGTGGCGGCTCATTTGGCTCAATAATTTTACTTATTCTGTCTTTTACAAAACGTAAGTAATCATTCAACTTTGAACAACATTGTCAGATTGAAAACTGGCTGGCTGTGAAAAGCTAGAAAAATGATCTCATATAAATCTCGATATAACTAGGAAGCCACGAGAGAGTTACTGAATCATAACTATCAAATGTCCAATCTTTTAAATTGATAAACAGTAGTAGTCAATGGAGTTCCAACTTCGCCTATCAGATGTTGTTCATCATTCATACAAAATAAAGTTTTAAGACTTTTAGGTGAACGGCAGATAGTGAATATTGATATGAGTTTGTACAACTTTCTGAATATCATGAAGAATGGAGCAGAAAAGTAAAGACCGATAAATAATTCAAAAACCAGAATGAGCTCTCCCTGTCAAAGACAGCAACCTTCTAAATATATTGGTATGAATCGAGCTTAGCAATGCATGACAGTAGTCAAGAAACGATGTATCTTCACGTCAAACTGTGAGCTGTTGTACGCCAGAGACTGTATAATACTTTCATCTAATTATAAAACCCCTTTGAACATTTTGATGATAAATAGCGTCGATGATTTTAAGCTTATTTATTTGCTTCAGCGGCCGTTGGGGGTATTCCAGGCAATTCCAAAGGTCCTACAATACCTGCCAAAGGTTATCTTGTTCAACACATCGACGGTGGTTTATACTGGTTGGTTGCCAATGTATATCAAGTAATGTTTTTGGTATCAAATGAAGGGGTAATAGTAGTTGATGCTCCTCCTTATAATATTGGTGATTACTACCTCAAAGCTATATCCGAAGTAACCAACAAAGTCGTTACACATGTTGTATACAGTCATGATCATTTGGATCACATTGGTAGCAGCGGAATATTTCCAAAGAATGCCACTTATATTGCACATAAACTTGTTGCTGACAGTCTATCTGCTGCGAAAGCTATGGCAACAAATGTTTCGTTAGTACCCCCTATACCCACAAGAACGTTTACCAAGAATTTATTACTGACAGTAGGAAATCAAACCTTGCAACTGGCGTACCATGGAGATGGTCATTCACCTGGAAACATCTTTATATATGCTCCAAAACAGAAGGTGCTTATGTTAGTTGATGTTATATTTCCTGGCTGGTTACCATTTGTTCAATTGGCTTACGCATCAGATGTTCTAGGTTTTATCAAAGATCATGATATTGTCTTAAAGTATGACTTTAAGACCTTTATCGGCGGGCATACTACAAGATTAGGTACAAGAAAAGATGTTTTAGTTCAAAAACAGTACATATCTGACCTAACTAGTGCAGCTCGCCAAGCACTCGATAAAATACCGTTTACACTACCCATCAGTCTAAGGCCTTGGAAGCAGTATACTGACTATCTCAACGCAGTCACGGAAACTTGCACAAAGATCATGCTTCGAAAGAACTGGGCAAAAAAACTTCATGGTATTATTTTTTTGAACGGACATTGCGACAAGATGATTCAGAATATAAGAATTGTACCGCGTTTAGCATTAACTTAAAATGAACACTATCCATCTTAAATTCCAGTATCATTCGATATCGAACAATTAACATATTCACGCAAACTGTATAGTACCTGAACATCATCATCAGTGGCGTTGTCATCGGTAGAAACGTTATGTGAGAAAGGCATTTTTGGCAAGCATACATTATTAGCATCAGTGTTAATTTCTTGGTAGTGTTTGCATCAATTTGCTATAGTATTTGTTATCTACTATGTTCTGAAAAACGCATAAAGGTAAAAAGATAGCATCACAATTCTTGAAGAATGAATCTGAATTGTTTTATTTGTCTTATTGACTCAATAACAGAAAATGTTGAAGTTCATAAAAGTTAACCGAGAGAAAAAAAAATAAAAAAGTTGAGCCTATATAACAGAAGGATAGTCACGAAGAAACTTATATATTTGACTCATATAAAAATAAATATTAAAACTGGCATTTAATAGAAGGGTTTACTCTCAGTTCGTCCCAAATTCAGAACGATATATCGGCTGAAAAATCGTTGAAATTAATTGTTCTATTTTCTCAATAGCATATTGAAATTTACTTTGAGTTTGTGTAGTTGTTTGAGAGAAAGAAAATGATTCTAAATTAGATGCAGCAATATTAATTGCTTCTACGGAGCTCACAATATTAGAACTATTCAACATATCTAGAGAATTGAGTTGAAAAAATATAAGAATATAATAGAATGCAGCAAATTTCAATTTTACTCACCACTTTTCTAAATTTTTGATACTGATTAGTATGAAATATGCATTTCTTTGCCTGACTATTGAGATTACCTGCTACATGTAAGATTGTGTTGGATGATGTGCTTGTCGTCTGTTGACCTATTGATTGTATTATTGTTTGTAATAATGTGGCTAAATAATAAAACCATCAAAACAGTTGATGTTTACTCAGTAGAACAATGCTCAATTTCTCAGCTTTCATGCAGTTTCTTTAAATTTAGACGGTTATTAATTTCATGGACATACTTGATTGCATTATTGAAATTACAGTTGAAGTTGATTGACTTGTATAATAATCTGTTGTTGTTTGTTCCGTAGTGTATGTTAATAAATCAGCAGCGCTGCTAGAAACTACTATTTAGAAGAAATACGAACATATGTTTCATGATTTGGTTTCTTAATATCAGACACACCGTACATTTTAGTAAATGATACCAAGTGTATAGTTACGTAAGAGAATTTGAATTTGCCCAAAGAATCAGACGCTGATTAGACTAAGCACGTTCTATGAGTGTGAAACGTTCAATGCAGCTATTAAACTGCGCAAGGTGAATACAAAAAAACGATTAATTTATGGAAGTAGAAAGAATAGTATAGAATCACATTCTAATTTCAAACTGGTTTTCTATCAAATTTTTCTTACAAGGCCGTAGAAAGATCCACCATCTGAAACCAAAATTGAATAACTGAAATCATTATTGTGCTAACTGTGGCTGTTCTTGGAAAATGTTTGCTTATGAAAATGACTTTATCGTCTCTAAAGCATTTTGAAATTCTTAATATACAGTTTTGTTCAAAATTGTTTTATGATTAGATTCATATAAAAATTCTTGTCCTCAGGAGCATTTGAGAAGAAAAGATTTTATTTCAGCCTTCAAATGACTATTTTTCAAATGATTTGTGAATTCTTATCGTACAAAGCTGATGCCAGTTCTAAGAACTTTATTTGAAACTTTTAGTTTTCGATTTCTTATTTGTCTTCAAGACAAACGTGATGTTCTGAATGTACCGGGTGTCCGGAAATTCATTGACCAAAAAGAAAATTAAATATCTCCACCATTTCTCGACCAAACTTCAAGGTTGTTTTTTTATTTGATAGAGAAACGTTTCAATTTCTATTTCATACGATTGGAACCTCTTGTTAATATTTGAAAAAATGTTTGGATCTATAATAGTGGAATTCAGAT